CTTATATATTGCAATTATATACACACATAAATACATACAATTACATACAGAAGCAGATACACATATTTTTACATATATATAGTGTATGTGTATTATACACACATATAATACAGTAAGTTTACTATGCACTATGAATAAATATATTTCAAAATGCTAAATGACATATAATAACATCAATAAAGAGAAAAGATTCTTTTTCTGAGGGATACGTGTTCTGACATCTGGATGGAAGTTACAACTTGGAAAGATTTTGGGTCTGGGTATGTAGAAATGCTGAGACAGAACATATCTGTAAAGTGAGAGCACCTATGTAGGTTTTGGGAGAGGGCCACAGGGTCACACTGACTCTCTCTCACTCAACAAGGCTCCAACTGAATGTTGACTCCACTTTATTTCAATGGTCACGTAAACAGTCACATGCATGTCTTGTCACAAAGCCAGGAGAGAAGAACAGCAAAGGATCTTCTCCCATCACCATAGTAATATGCATCAAAGAAGGTGGGTGGCTTGCTGGAATTTGTGGAATACTTTATGGTCATGATGTTGGAAGATGATTGGTAGACTAGAGAGAAGCCTTGGCAAACTCTCACAAGGGAGTCAGACCCTGGAGGTCCATCCAGGATTTCCACCTGCTCAGTCTCACAGGGGAGGCTGTTGGGCCAGAGGGAAAGTCAGGATTTAGCATTTGGAATCGCCCTGCTTCCATCAGGCATCATATCTTCACCAAAGACTGGAAAACTATCACTCCAGCTTCACTGGAGACAAATGCAAGGCCAGGTGTGGACAACAAGGGAAGGAAAGTCTATTAGCTCTTCTGAACAGACTGCAGTCACCCCAGGACCCTCCTAGCTCTCCAGGAGGCCCTTCCCTCAACCTGGGTTGCAGCGGGCTTCCAGAGCCACCAGGAAGCCCTACCTATGGCTCAAAGATGCTGACATAGGAATTTAGGTCAGGAGCCACATGTGTTTCCAAATCCACAAGTGTGACAATACAGCCCACACAGTGGTGTGATCCCTTGGCTACAACTGTTGTGTCAGGCTGAGAGGTCACAGACTTGAGTGTGTGGATTCCATTCCTTGGATTCTGCTTTCCCCTCCACTGTCATATGAGGCAGCACGGCCCCAGCCTCCCAACCTTGGCCTGCATGACCAGAACAGAAATGAGAGTAGTGTCCATTTCCAACTAGTGAGAGACAAATTGCGCATATGGGGTGCTCTCAGTCCTGGGAGGTCCCCCCACTTCTCTCTCCACCCTCTACTCCTCAGACCTGACCCCCATCTCTCATCCTTACTTAGCCATGAGCACGACTCATAGTCACAGGAGAGAGACCAGGGTCTCTGTGGGATTTAACAAGAGAACAAGGAGAACATTCTCCCAGGGCACATACAAATGGTACATTTTAAAATAGTTTTCCTCTTGGCCCAGCTTGAGCCCTTCGTAGTGTCAAAAATACTCAGATCCAAAAAGCCTGTAAAGGACAAAATACCAGTATAGGAAAATTTTACAGAATCCTGTCTCCTTTGACCATTGAAAAATGATAATGCATTTAATGCCTGTAGATTGCATCCCTGGTCCTCTCCCCAAACTCCCTCTTTCCTTGTTTCCAAACATGACGCTTTTAGCGCCTTTCTTTTTCAGAATTCCTGGGGTACAGATTCAGGAGATGGTCTAAGATCTGTTTGTGGGGCAGCTGTCTCTAAGGTGTCCTTGATCCCACAGAGCCCCTTGTAACCTAGCAGAGTCTCCATCCCCAGCAGGTCTGGACGGGTACAGTCCCTTAGTCACACAGATTTCCTCTTCCTCCTTAGCTGCTATTGTGGTCCATGTTTGGCTTTAGTCTAGAATTGATGTAAATGTGATTCCCATGTTAACGTCTGTCAACTGCCCTGGGAGGAAGTGCTGTAAATTGTTGATGCATTGTAATGCCTTCTGTGGCTTTATCAGTTCATTCACTAATTCATTCACTCACTCAAGAATATAACTTGGACCCTGACATTAGATCTCCCGTTGTGGTAGACCAAGCAAATAAATGAGCAAATGATATTGTATGCTTCATATTCTGCACAGCTTTGCATGGGGTAACTGAGCGGCGAACAGGAAAGAGATCCATCCACTTGGGGGGAGGTCAGGGAGATGTTATGGAGGACTTAGTTCTCAAGCTCAATCATAAAATATGCGTGGAAGCCCCTAGGCAGAGGGCAGGTGCGCCTGGGAGGGTGGAGGGCTGCTCTCCAGTCAGAGGGGACAGTGTGAGCAAAGGCATGGAGTTGGCAAACAGTCTGGTGTGTCCAAAGCTCAGGCTGTGATGGCTCAACACAGAGCGGGGGTCCAGAAGAGAGAGGTGGTTAGGAGAGGGAGAGATCCAGGTCCAGATCAAAAACAAGCCAAACCAATGAAGGAATTTGAAACCCATGCTAAGGAGAGGAAACTTGACCCAGAAAGCAGGGAGCCAGTGAATGGGTTTCAGTCAGGAGTGAAAAATGAGTTACATTGTGCTTTAGATGCCTGTGCTGGATGTGTGGAGGGTGAAGGAAACCAGAACAAGTCACAACAAAATATGCCTCTCTGACATAAAAATTATTTTGAACTGAGGACAATTAACAATCAGCAAATGAAGGAAAAGCTCTCTCTGCCCTCCCCCGCTACTGCCTAAAGGCAGGATGGAAATTCTCCTTTAGTGGAGAGATTGTGGACTATTATCAGCCCAGATACTGCACCAGAAGAATCTGCAGACAAACTGTACTCTATTAGTTTCCTCCATATGTTTACCTTCCCACCATTTGCCTCACTGGAGACCTAAAACCACTTTCTTATCTCCTGTCTTTTCTCTGCAAATTTATTGGCCTTTGCTGAAGAGGTGATATAAGCTAGAGTTCTTAGCCACCACTTTGAGTTACACATTCCCTTTCCCTGAGGTTTCTCCCACGTATGTGTGAGGTAAACATGTTCATATTCTTCTGTTTGTCCCTTGATAATCTGTGTTTTGTACAGCAGCCCCAGGTGAAAACTTAAAAGCGTAGAAGGTAAAGAATTTCTGCCCCTCATGAGGGAGAGCTGGAAGAGGCCGAGATGGACTCCTTCCTGGAATCTACAACAACATCAGCGAAGAAGACACATCCTGACACTCACTTGAGGAAAGGAAATGCCAGAATTACTTGCTGAGGTGGCTTCACCTGTATGGTCCAGACACAGGCACTTTTGTTCCCTGGAGAGCTGGTAAACTGGCCCGAGGCATTTGTGAGGAGGCCCCCATATTCACCAGGCTCTACAAACAGAAGACAAGGACACAGAGGCAGTCCAGGGCAGCTCCAGGCCTGGGAAGGGCTGTGCCACTCACGGGCCCCACATCCTGGTTGATTCTCCTAACTTCTTGGGTGGTGAACAAAACGTAACACGGATGACTCAAGCGCTGATAACACAATCAAGCTGCATTTTTTGTTTTATTTCTCTCTGAGATTTTTAAGGACCCATATCCGCTTGTAGTACAATTTACTTTTGAAAACTTGGCAACCGAAGAAACATAATGTCCCTCATCAAAACATTCTTTATCATCAATCCCTTTGACAGATTGGTGAGTATAAAGTCAGCATGAACAACTCATTTCTGCCACCTTGAAGGTATTTTCCATGTTTGGGCCCGAGAAATAGCAAATAGGCAGTTCTCCGGCCCCAAGAGAGGCCTCACCCCTCAGAGATACAGAAGCCATCTCACTGTAAACACCTGGGGAAGAGGATCCAGCTGTAAATGAGGATAAAAATACTACCTTCCTCAAGGGTATTATAGGATGAAATGTGTTCATGTTTGTAAGGTGCTCAGCCCATATCCAGCACCTCCGTAAGTACTAGGTGAATAACTAAATTAATAAGCAGCCAGCATCATGAGGAAACCTCTCTTCCCTCTAACCCACGCCTCACGCTGCTGTCACGTCCTCTTCGCTCACTGCTCTGGTTTCTGTTACTGAAGAAGGTGACGCCCCCCAGCTCTCCAGAACCCAAGTGTTAGAGGACTTGATCCTCCTCTGGCTCATGCTCTGTGGAGAGGTGGCCTCTCTCTCTGCCTAGTGAGGCTGTGCAGATGGAGGTGGAGGAGTCCCCACTGTGCCAGAGAAGGGTTGGGGGCTGAGGGTGGGTGCACCTTGGACAGAGCCTTCAGCGGTCACACCTAGTGTCTGAATACATCAAACGCTCAGTCCAGCGGTCCTGCTCACCCGACCCAGTGCAGGCTTCTCTCAGCCAGATGCCCAGAGGGAGTATGAAGGAAGAACCTTTCTCTCTTTGTCCTTCAAATCACCCCACTTCGTTGACTCCCCACCTTGCTCATATGGCACCTCCTGCTCAGAACATTCTACTCTGGTCTCTCCAAATTCCCGATGCTGGATGGCCTGGCTTGAGCACCACTCACCATCACTGTGAAACCCACATGCCCCCTCCATCTGGGGAGTCACCCCTCCAGCAGTGCCTGCAACTCCACCCACTGCCTTATGGTGGCATCCTGGAGCCCGTGCTTTCTATGTCGCTATTTGACATGGATCTTTGGTTTCAGGCTCCAGCAGAATTATACCCTCTTGGGGATAAAGACTGCATTGTACCACTGAGTGTGTTACAAAGTGGTGAATAAAAATATCCTTGACAATCACCAGACTATAATCACATGCCACGACACTCTTTTTTGCACTATACATAAATACAAATATATATAAACATATACGTGTATATATATATATATATTATATATATTGAATATGTACACTATAAACCAAGTATACTATACATTAAGTATACTATACATACACTAGAAAATGCCAAAGACTTACCATAAATCAATAAAGAGAAAATGTTCTGTCTTTTGAGGGATACTTGCCTCATCTTCTGGATGGAATTTACAATTCATCAAAAGTTTTCCTTTTGGGTGCACCCACCTGTAGGTCTGGAAATGTAGAAATGCTGGGGTAGACCTTCCACAAAATGATAGGACCTATGTATGTTTCTGGAGAAGGTCACTGGGTCAGGCTGACTCTCTCTCACCCAAGGGTGGTCCAACAGGAGGTTGGCACCACCTTCTTCCAACAGTCACACAAACAGCCACATCCCCATCCTGCCGCAAAGCAAGGTTTGCATAGAGGAGGGGGCATGAGCAGGGACCCTTCCCCCACCTACCTTCTCCACCACTATGGTAATATGCATCAAAGAAGGTTGGTGGGTGGGTGGAAGTTCTGGAATACCAGATACTCATGATGTTGGAAGAGGATTGGTGGAAGAAAGACATGCCTTTACAAATTTCGCTCAGGGCATTGGACCCTACAGGTCCATCCAAGACTTCCACCTTTTCACTCTCACAGGTGAGGCTGTTGGGGCAGAGTGAAAGGCAGGCATCAGCTCTTGGAACTGCCCTCACTCTAGCAGGCAGTCTGGGACTCCCAAGACTGGACACCAGCTTCACTCTTGAGAAGTGCAAGACCAGACATGGACTAGAGAAGGAAAGTTTATCACTTTTTTGAAAGAATGACAGTCATCCCAGAACCATCTGATCTCCCCAGAGGTTGTCCTCTACACCTGGGCTACATGTGGGGCCCAGGTCTCCCAGGGAGCCCTGCCTATGGCTCTGAGATTTGCACACAGCAACTTTAATCTCAGGCCCAAAGCGTTAAATACAGCTACCTCAGTCATGTGTTGTTTTCAGCTATGACCTCACAACAGGGTGAGAGTCTCCCGACATGAGTGCGTGAATGCCACTCCATGGTTTCTGCACCCTCTACTGTGTCAGATGGGGTAGGAGGTGAGGCAGCATGGCCCCAGCAGCCAAGCTTGCCCTCCCTGATTCAGGGCACATGGGAGAAGGATGTCCACCTCCATCTAGTAAGACATAAAATGAACATGGGTGCTCTCAGTCCTGGGAGGTCGCCCCACCTCTCTCTCCAGGCTCTGCCTTCAAACTAGATCCCCACGCCCCATACCCACATGGACACTAGCACTACTCAGGCTCACAGGAGACAGTTGGAGCCTCTCTGGTTTAGAACAAGACAAGGAGGGGACATCTCACCCAGACACACGTGGCACCCTTTACACCGGTTGGCTCTTGGCCAGCCTGAGTCCTTCCTTGGTGCCGAGGAGAGTGAGATCCAAAATCAATCTTTGAAAAGGACAAAGGAATGTTTTAGGGAAATTTTCAGAAGAATCTATCTTCCTCACCCAGGAGAAATGGTGACATAAGAAAATCCTGAATCCTTCATCCCTGATCCTCTCCTCAACCTCCTCTCTCTTTATTTCCCCAACACGGTATCCTATACAACAGCTCTTTTTTCAAATTCATTGGGGCAAAGGTTGAGATAATTGACTAAGCCCTACGTTTAGACGGCCATCACTAAGGTGTTCCTCATCCCAAGAGAATCTGTGTACCCTAGTTGGGGTCCCAAAGCATCAGCAGGTCTGGAGGGGCAGGGTCCTTAGGCACAGATTACATGGTCTGGGTCAGCCTCCCTGCAGGCTGTGTTTGACTTGGTCTGGAACTGATGGAAATGTGGCTCACATGTTAAGATCTGTGAAGACTACTCTGGAATCGAAATCTGTAAGTTGTTCTTTCATCAGAAATGCTGTCTGAGGCCTTATCACTCTAGTCATTCATTCATTCATCTATTCATTCATTATAGAAATTTATCTTGAACTTGAAATTAAAGCTTTCATTCCAGTAAAGACAAGGAAAGAAACAAGAGCAACTGTATGCTTCAAATTTACCTGGGAAGCTGCATGAAGCATCTAACAGAGCACGAAAGAGAAAGAGATCTGTCCACCTGAGAGGGAGTCAGGAAGACATTACGGAAGTGTTAGCTCTCCAGCTGAACCATGAAGTACTAATGGAGGACACTAAGCAGGAGGCAGGTGAGTCTGGCAGGGGTGGAAAGAGGCAGAGGTGACAGGGTGAGCAAAGCCATGGAGCTGCTAAAGGATCTGGTGTGTCCAAAACTCCATGTGTGATGGCTCAGCACAGAGAGGGGCAGAGGGGAGAGAATGTGAAGGGAGGGGAGATCCAGGGGGCAGATCAAGAAGGCTTCCAAAGCCATGCTGAAGAGATCAACTTTACCCAAAGGCAGGAAGCCACTAATGGAGTTTTCAGCAGGAAATGAAAGAGTCCAATTTTGTTTTACACGCCTGGGGGTTAACCAGTAGGGTGAACTGGTAGAGGCCAAGATGGTCTCCATCCCATAAAACTACAATGTCAGCAAGGAAAATACATTGTGAGCACCCCCTTGAGGTGATGAAAGGACAGATGGACTCTCCGTGTTGGCTTCACCCAGATGGTCCAGACACACACTGTGTTGTTCCCAAGAGGGTTGACCAACCTGCCTGAAGGATGTGTGAGGAAGCCCCCACATTTCGCAGATTCTATAATCAGGAGAATAGGAAGTTTTGGGGATCCAGGGCGGCTCCTGGGCTGAAAGGGCTTTTCCATTCCTGGGGCCTGATATCTGTTTATTCCCCCTCAGGTCCTAGTGAAAAATTGATGATCTGAGAACAATCCCCAGCTCCAAAGGGGCATTTCTTGTTTCATACTTTTCAAGGATTTCACAGACCTCATATCCATTTGTAGTATAATCTCTTTTAGCCCCCTGAGAAATAGAATATATTTAACACTTCTTCACCAAAACATTCTTCATCACCAACCGCGTCACCCTATTGTAGAGCAGAAATCCACCCAAATACCTCATTTCTGTCTCTCTGAAGATCTCTTCCTAGTGCGGGCCTGAGAAATAGCAAATAGGCAGTTCTCCTGCCCCAGAGAGGCCCAGCCCTTCAGAGAAATGAGAATCCATCTCCTGATAAAGACCTGCAGGAAGGAGTTCCACATTCTGCTCAGTGATGGCTTAGGCTCCAAATCTGTAATGAGGATAAAGACAGCACCTTTCTCAGGGCTGTTCTAGGATCCAATGGGTTCTTTTTGTAAACTAAACCAATATCCAACATGCGGAAATCACTAGGTATCAATCAATCACCATGCTACCTGCATTTCGAGGAAACTCATCTCCCCTCTACCCCTCATCCCTCATGCTGCAGTCACTGCCTCTTCCTTCTCTCCCTTCAAGGCTCATTTCTTACACTGATGATGGTGATGCCGCTCAGCTCTCCAGACTCCTGCCCTTTAGAAGAGTCTCCATCCTCCTGTGACATGTGCTCATTGCGTATGGGGGATTCTTCTCCAGCCTTGTGAGGCTGTGCAGATGGGAGGCCGAAGAGGCTCACTGGGCTGTGGCGGAGTTCTAGTCGGGTGGGGAGAGGGCCTTGAGAGGGCCCGGTGGAGATGCAGATTTAGGAATTGTGAAGTGCTATGGAATACTGTCAGGTATAAATGCAACTCTTTTCTTTTTCTCCAAGAATGTGTCCCAAGGTACATGAGCACCCAGAGAGCCATTTGGACCCCAACCCAAAAGCACATTGTCTCGAGGAGACAATGTGAGAAGAGGAGAAGGGTACAATAATATTGCCCTGTTTACCTCTTGGCCTTGTTGGTGATTCGATTAAATCTGAAACACCAAACAAAATCAAAAGCTGGAAATTACTGATGGGTCAATGGGTGGCGTAAAATGGACACCCTGTAAAGAGGGGCCTGAGTGCCAAGGGACGGTGCTGAGCATGAGGAGGAGAGAGCATCGCTGTCCTCGGCCCTGGGGACAATCCTGGTCACACAGAGGGAAGGGCAGAAAGAAGGTCTGGCACTCAGCAGTCAGCACCTGGTTCATTCAGTGCTTTCTCTTCTTCCCCAGTTCCGTGAGTGCAATGTTCACGCTCGGGAGCCCCAGTCAAAAAAGTCAGCTCTGACCAGGGTGACCAACCTGACCCGGTTTACCCACGAATTTTCCAGTTTTAGCACTAAAAGTCTCCATGAAACCACTCAGTCCTGGGTGAACCAGGACAGTTGGTCTTCCTAATTCCGACCTGAACATTTCTTGTAATTTCTGTAATGAGACCAATGATCAATTTGATGTTGGAGTAAAAACATTGAATGTAATTTTCAAGCTAGGAGAAATAAACTGCCTTAGTTTATGGAAGTGTCACCACTACAGGGACCCAAGTAAGATACTTGGATCCAAGAGTCCTGAATGTTATACATGGAGTCCCATGGTTGACATGGGGCTGTGGCTTATCCTCATGATGTCACGTAGTGGGGCAGCACAGCTTCTGAATCAGACAGGCCTGTGTTACAGTCCTCGTGGATTGTGGCATGAAAGCTGAATGGCTTTGGGCAAGTTATTTACCCTCCTGAAGGCTCATGTTCCTCGTCTGTCAAAGGGGCGATATAATTCCAACCACACAGAGGTCTTGTCATGATGTAATTAGATAAACTGTCTGAAATTATTAATGTAGTACCTGGAGTATCATAAGAGCTGAATCAATGTTAAATGGTTGTTACCATTTTATTTATTCGATTGTAATCTGTTTCTATCCCTAATTATAAAGATGGAAACCATACTTGAAATAGGTGAAAAGACCTACCTAAACACACATGACATGTTAGCAGCATATGGAAATCAGGTATCTTGTTACTGTTCCTTCCCTGGCTCCTTTTGCCCAGGGTTTAATAGGACTCGCCCATCAAAGACCATAGTGTGCTAACCAGCAGCCAGGATTTAGCTGGTAACATCATATTATTCGATCTCAAGGGTTTTCTGGGAACATCTAAGGACCTGCGCTGCACACTGGTCCCAGGCTACTGCGTGCCATTAACCACAGCAAGGGGCCAAGGCCAACCAGGTGGGGGCGGGGTCTGCTAAGTTAGAAAAGCCAGCAAGGTCAGCACTAGGATTTGCTTCTCTTCTCCAGACATGTCAGTGAGTTTCAGGTGATCCTTCAAACTCCAAGACCAAGGTTCTGGCACAACTTAAATGACAGAGAAGACATGCTCACTTCCTGTGTGGTTTGCAGGAACCAGATGCCCTTTCCTCTTGATGCATGGAGGCAGATCCTGTAAGGTCCCATCAGGAAGGTTCCCAGACCTCTGTGTCCTACTCATCTCCTGACTACAT